CGATGTGTGGAAGATGAATTTTGAACAAAGAGTATGACTCATAATATACAATTATGTAAACATAAAACATTTATTTAGATTGTCATGAAACACAACTTGCAAAACCTAGATACACACAAGAGGCGCACGTGACTTGCACAAAACATGTAACTTGGATTTTATAGATGGACACATGTTATACACTTTTACATGCATGCCGAGATGATGATACTAATTCTCCTAATCAAATGAAAATTTCAAATATAAAACTATAAAAAAACAGGCTCGACAAGAAAAAAAAATAAGAAATACACACAACTTGTATGCGTTTTGTCTCTTTAAACTTAATCCTTGAATGTGGAACCTCGGGCGTATCCGATGCTACCACCTCCTTCGCTTCGTCTTTCGCGTTATCACCATCAAAACTAACAACATGACACCACCAACCTCCGTGTCAGTTTCTTTCTTGATTTTTTGAATGATAGAGGTGTTGCCTGAATCCATCGGGAGAGTTTTCGGTTCCTTTTCACTTTCAAATTTCTGCATCCTTTTCGTGACATCAATCTTCACATTTGAGTCATTGTCAAACAACAAAAAGTCAAAAACATCTTGACAGTCATACTAAAAAACAAATGGTAGCCACTTTTTAAACCTTGGTTGCCCACACATGTTTCCCAATCCTTGTTGAAGTAAACACCAACTTTAGTATGTGTTATCCCCACGCTCCAAATTTTCATATCTGAATTCCTAAGTATTACCCTTTTGGCAATATTTTTTGCAGGAACTCCCTCCGCGTAGAGACCATATATGTTTGATATGAGGATTTCCTTTCCAAGGAAAAAGGTTAACTAATGAGGAACATAATAAGTTCAAACATTAAATAAAACACACATATAAAGAAAGCATGGACATTGTTGATTAGTTAAACACCTCTAGACTCGGTTAATTCAAATCAATGTATAAAAGAAAGTTATATACACAAATTGTTGTGCGTGCCTTAAAACTTAAAAGCGTGAATGAGATTTTATCATTCATTAAAACTTATCATATACAATTGTGTAAACATATATCATCCATGAAACACAACTTGCAAAATTCAAAGAAATTCAAAATCCAAGCCATTTGATTTAATGTTCAATACACACACACTTGTATTTTTTATTGGGAATTAAATTGATCAAAAGGTACTGAAATCGTTCGAAAAAATACAAACCATTGCTCTTTAAAAACTCTGCGGAGAAAAGCACTTGTTAAAGCTAGACTTTCTATTCTGAAGGCTATCAGCAATTTTGATCAATTCCTTTAAGCAGCTAAGAATGGACATTTAATGGGTTGAGTATAGAAAGCACAAAATATATAATATGGATGGATTTACAGAAGTTTATACATGGAGGACGGCCATTCGGGTGACTCAGCAAAGTGATGGTGTGAACGCACGCTCCTGTTTTGACTCGGATATACGTAACATCAATTACTACTCCTGACTCGGATCCAGGTGTACTAGCATGTGATCAAATATGTACTAGCTGTAGTAAGTGTTTTCTGATCCGTGTTTAAAGTTTGAACAAGATATAGTCGATGTGGAGTTACGTTGTATTATAGACAACACTAAAACAATACACATATGTTTTTTAATGCATATTAGTTAAGCATCTATATATAGATCTGGTTAATTCAAACAAATGTATACATTTCGTACAATGTGTGGAAGATGAATTTTGAACAAAGAGTATGACTCATAATATACAGTTATGTAAACATAAAACATTTATCTAGATTGTCATGAAACACAACTTGCAAAACCTATATACACACAAGAGGCGCACGTGACTTGCACGAAACAGGTAACTTGAATTTTATAGATGGACACGTGTTTTATACTTATACATGCAGCCCAACATGATGATACTAATTCTCCTAATCAAATGAAAACTACGAATATAAAACTACAAAAAAACAAGCTCAAAAAGTAAAAAATAAGAAATACAAGCAACTTGTGTGTGTTTTGTCTCTGTAGCCTTACTCTTTGAATGTGGAACCTCGGGCATATCCGATGCTACCACCTCCTTCTCTTTGTCTTTCGTGTTATCACCATGACACCACCAACCTCCATGTCCGTTTCTTTCTTGATTTTTTGAATGATAGAAGTGTTGACTGAATCCATCAGAAGAGTTTTCGGTTTCTTTTGACTTTCACATTTCTACATCCTTTTCGTGACATCGATCTTCACATTTGAGTCATTGTCAAACAACAAAAAGTTAAAAAAGACTTGACAGTCATTCTAAAAAACAAATGGTAGCCACTTTTTAAACCTTGGTTGCCCAACATGTTTCCCAATCCTTGTTGAAGTAAACACCAACTTTAGTATGTGTTATCCCCACGCTCCAAATTTTCATATCTGAATTCCTAAGAATTACCCTTTTGGCAAAGTTTTTTGCAGGAACCCCCTCCACGCAGAGACCATGTCTGATATGGCGATTTCCTTTCCAAGAAAAAAGGTTAACTAATGAGGAACGTAATAAGTTCAGACATAAAATAAAACACACATATAAGAAAACATGTACATTGTTGATGAGTTAAACACCTTTAGACTCGGTTAATTCAAATCAATGTATAAAAGAAAGTTATATACACAAATTGTTGTGTGTGTCTTAACACATAAGAGCGTGAATGACATTTTATCATCCATTAAAACTTATCATATACAATTCTGTAAACATATATCATCCATGAAACACAACTTGCAAAATTCAAAGAAATTCAAAATCCAAGCCATTTGATTTAATGTTCAATACACACACACTTGTATTTTTTATTGGGAATTAAATTGATCAAAAGGTACTGAAATCGTTCGAAAAAATACAAACCATTGCTCTTTAAAAACTCTGCGGAGAAAAGCACTTGTTAAAGCTAGACTTTCTATTCTGAAGGCTATCAGCAATTTTGATCAATTCCTTTAAGCAGCTAAGAATGGACATTTAATGGGTTGAGTATAGAAAGCACAAAATATATAATATGGATGGATTTACAGAAGTTTATACATGGAGGACGGCCATTCGGGTGACTCAGCAAAGTGATGGTGTGAACGCACGCTCCTGTTTTGACTCGGATATACGTAACATCAATTACTACTCCTGACTCGGATCCAGGTGTACTAGCATGTGATCAAATATGTACTAGCTGTAGTAAGTGTTTTCTGATCCGTGTTTAAAGTTTGAACAAGATATAGTCGATGTGGAGTTACGTTGTATTATAGACAACACTAAAACAATACACATATGTTTTTTAATGCATATTAGTTAAGCATCTATATATAGATCTGGTTAATTCAAACAAATGTATACATTTCGTACAATGTGTGGAAGATGAATTTTGAACAAAGAGTATGACTCATAATATACAGTTATGTAAACATAAAACATTTATCTAGATTGTCATGAAACACAACTTGCAAAACCTATATACACACAAGAGGCGCACGTGACTTGCACGAAACAGGTAACTTGAATTTTATAGATGGACACGTGTTTTATACTTATACATGCAGCCCAACATGATGATACTAATTCTCCTAATCAAATGAAAACTACGAATATAAAACTACAAAAAAACAAGCTCAAAAAGTAAAAAATAAGAAATACAAGCAACTTGTGTGTGTTTTGTCTCTGTAGCCTTACTCTTTGAATGTGGAACCTCGGGCATATCCGATGCTACCACCTCCTTCTCTTTGTCTTTCGTGTTATCACCATGACACCACCAACCTCCATGTCCGTTTCTTTCTTGATTTTTTGAATGATAGAAGTGTTGACTGAATCCATCAGAAGAGTTTTCGGTTTCTTTTGACTTTCACATTTCTACATCCTTTTCGTGACATCGATCTTCACATTTGAGTCATTGTCAAACAACAAAAAGTTAAAAAAGACTTGACAGTCATTCTAAAAAACAAATGGTAGCCACTTTTTAAACCTTGGTTGCCCAACATGTTTCCCAATCCTTGTTGAAGTAAACACCAACTTTAGTATGTGTTATCCCCACGCTCCAAATTTTCATATCTGAATTCCTAAGAATTACCCTTTTGGCAAAGTTTTTTGCAGGAACCCCCTCCACGCAGAGACCATGTCTGATATGGCGATTTCCTTTCCAAGAAAAAAGGTTAACTAATGAGGAACGTAATAAGTTCAGACATAAAATAAAACACACATATAAGAAAACATGTACATTGTTGATGAGTTAAACACCTTTAGACTCGGTTAATTCAAATCAATGTATAAAAGAAAGTTATATACACAAATTGTTGTGTGTGTCTTAACACATAAGAGCGTGAATGACATTTTATCATCCATTAAAACTTATCATATACAATTCTGTAAACATATATCATCCATGAAACACAACTTGCAAAATCCAGAGAAATTCAAAATCCAGACCATTTGATTTCATGTTCAATACACACACACTTATATTTTTATTGTGAATTAAACTGATCAAAAGGTACTCAGATCTTTCGAAAGAAAGCACACCATTGTTCTTGAACAACTATGCGGAGAAAAGCACTTGTGAAAGCTAGACTATCTATTCTGAAGGCTATCCGCCATGTCAATCAATTCCATTGAGCAGATAAGAGTGGCAGTTTGATGGGTTGAGTATAGAAGGCACAGAACATACAATCAAGATGAATTTCCAAACGTTTATACATGCAAGCCGTCCATTCTGGTGACTCAACAAAGTGATGGTGTGAACGCATGCTCCAGTTTTGACTTAGATATACGTAGTATCGATTACTACTGTTGACTCGGATTTGTGTGTACTAGCCTGTTATCAAATATGTACTAGTTGTACTATATGTTTTTCGATCCATTTTTAAAGGATGAACAAGATATAGTCGATGTGGAGTTACGTTGTATTATAGACAACAATTAAAAAGTTTGTTTTTACTCCATATTAGTTAAGCATCTATATTAGATTTGGTTAATTTTTTTTTTTTTTTTTTTTTTTTTTTTTTTTTTTGTTTTTTTTTTTTTTTTTTAAAGAGGATTTTATTGATAAAAGGAAATAGTACAATGCGAAAAGGAAAAGAAAGAAAAAAAAAACATAAAAAGAGAAAAGAAAAAGAAAGGAAAAGAAAAAAGACAAAAAAAAACAAGCTACTCCCAAGGGAAATCTCTGGATTGTGACCTAGTCTTCATGCTGTGACGCCTTTTGTTTTTTTGAGATTTCTTGTAGATCTTAAGTTGCTTGTTAAGGTTGTCTGTTGGCAGACAATTTTCGGAAGTCACAAAATTTGCTTTGGAGCAAATTTCCCTGTTGAATTTGGATTTCCTAATTTCTTCGGGGTATGAAATAGGTGGACGACGGTCACTTTCAGTTGCATGTCCAAGAAAGTCATCTGCAAAAAAAGAGTCATCGGAATAATCAAAACTGTCAGAAGCGTCTGAGTAAGCCTGGATCCGTGGCAACTCAGGTTCTTTCTCTGAAGATATGACATTTTGATTTTCAGTGCATTGACCCTGAATCTGAGAATTTAAGATCAATTTGGAGATGGATGTAGGATCCTCGGATTCAATTGTGCTCCTTAGTTGAAGATTGATTGAGTCATCCTGCACATATTTTGTTATCCCAACAAAATTAGAGAAAATATTGATAAATTGAAGCAAACTTGATTTTTTATGTCCCACGGGAATATTAATGGAGCTCCCCTTGTGCTTGAAAATTTTGACATAGCAGCCTGATCTGTTTGTTTCTAAACAAACAGTGATATCTCCAAATCGCCTAGACTGCTTCAAATTTGGTTGAGCTAAATTTGTGAGCTGAGACATGAAGCAGATGATTCGGGGAGCGATGTCAAGATTGACCTCCATTTTGCGCAGCTGGGAATTTTTAATTTCGAAGAGGACCAAATTGCTACCTTGGAGTGCGAATTTAAACATTTTAGATTCAATCTTAATTGAGTCAAACCCATCTTCCGCAAAGAAAGAGTATTTTTCACAGGCTTCCACTTCCTGAATTATTTCGACTGGGTCCATAAGAGTGTAGTCTAACTCTTTAATAATAATACGCCTGTCTTTTGAGGGAGAAACGTGGGCAGGTTCTGAAATATCACTCAGTTGTTTTTTGTCAGCATCGAACCTCACTATATCAGCCCATGTGAGAGGTTGTGCGTTACCAGGGGTGTGTGTCTCCTCTGCGTGTCTAACCACCAGTGGAGCCCCTGATATGGAGGTGAGATTGTCAACCGTAGGTCCAGATTCCATAACGGATGGGGCTGCCGGCGTGGAGGTCCCCGGCGCGGAGGTCGCTGATGATGTCTTCCCTTTATCGCAACGTTGACGGTCTATAGCGATTCTTCGAGTGTCGCTTATTAGTCTTTTATCATGGTTGTTTTTTTCTCTCGTTCGATGTTTTCCGTTGAGGTTGGACGAGAGGTCTGGTTCGCCGTCGAGTTCATATGGTTGCGTTGAGATAGGAATTTCATAATCAAATCCCAAGCTGAGATAACAATTAGAGTTTTCAGCCACCCAAATTGGATCTGGGAACAATAGCTGGTGCGTTGGGAGGCGTTGATTGAGGTGAGGGGGGTGGCGCCGTCCCCTGTTGACCGTGCGCCAGCCATCCTCCGTCTCCCCTGTTTTTGGTCTGAGACATGGTTGACGAGGGTTAGGCCGTACTTGCAGGCAATCAATAGCATCTCGTTGATGTTCCAGAAGAGGTGGCCCTCTGTTGAGTATTTCTCTTGATTCAGTTTGATTTCTGTAGTTCCTGGGATTGTGGGCTGCCTTTGGGAATAAGGTGTCTTGGCAGAACATGAGATAATCCCGGTTCCGATTCTTGCTTGAAGGAGAAAATCTAGCTCTACGCCGGTAACTAGAATCATGAGTGTTGAAGTAACGATTACCTGCTCTGAGATTGTATTCTTCTTCTCTCTGGAAGCTCCTGTCCAAACACCTGGGATGGGGTCTTCGCTCCTGATTTCTGTTTTGGGCACGCTGGTACCATTGTAGATTGGCAGGTGCAGAATCCTTGTAATAGTAGTATCGTTCAGTGCATCGTGGAGAATCCCACTGAGTGTAATTCAACAAAAACTACTATTAGATTTGGTTAATTCAAACAAATATATACATTTCGTACGATGTGTGGAAGATGAATTTTGAACAAAGAGTATGACTCATAATATACAATTATGTACACATAAAACATTTATCTAGATTGTCATGAAACACAACTTACAAAACCCAGATACACACAGGAGGCACACATGACTTGCACGAAACAGGTAACTTGGATTTTATAGATGGACACATGTTATAAACTTATACATGTAGCCCCGGAGATGATACTAATTCTCCTAATAAAATGAAATTAAAAATTTCAAATATACAACTATAAAAAAATAGGCTCGTCAAGTAAAAAATAAGAAATACAAGCAACTGATATGTGTTTTGTCTCTTTAACCTTACTCTTTGAATGTGGAACCTCGAGCGTATATGATGCTACCACCTTCTTCTCTGCGTCTTTCGTGTTATCACCATCAAAACTAACACCATGACACCACCAACATGCATGTCTATTTCTTTCTTGTTTTTTTGAATGATGGAAGTGTTGTCTGAATCCATTTGAAGAGTTTTCGGTTACTTTCACTTTCTTATTTCTCTATCCTTTTCGTGACATCGATCTTCACATTTGAGTCATTGTCAAACAACAAAAAGTCAAAAATGCCTTGACAGTCATACTCAAAAATCAAATGAAAAAATTTCACTTTTGGTCCCATGACTATTATGTCACTTCCACATTACTCCCTTGACTTTCAATTTAACCAAATCTAGTCCGTGACCTTTTCCCCTTCACCACCAGTCGTCCTTCCGACCACAACTCCGGCAAATTTTAACTGGAAACCAATTAATGAAGGTTAGTTGCGTCATTTAATAGCATTTATAGGTTTTCTTATCGAAAAAATGCCACTTTTGGTCCCATGACTATTATGTCACTTCCACATTACTCCCTTGACTTTCAATTTAACCAAATCTAGTCCGTGACCTTTTTCCCTTCACCACCCGTCGTCCTTCCGACCACAACTCCGGCAAATTTTAACCGGAAACTCATTTATGTAGAAATATTGGGACATTTTAGTAATTGTATGTTGTTAAAATGGCTACCTACAAAATTAACTTCAATTAATGTTGAGTTAATACGCCGGCTTCCTTCATTCTCAAAACCGAAGTCTTCTCCAATTTCCCAAACTTCCGTCAGCCTGAAAATCCCCAACCATCGTTCGAACAATGAGGACCCGTCCGGACCGTCGGAGTGAAGGAGAATGAACAAGTGCTGAACGATGTTCGCCAACAAATGCTAGTGATAAAGGTAAGAGGTTGAACATTTAAAAAAAAAGAGTGGAAGAAAGTAATGAATACAAGGCTGAAATGAGGTGTATATAATTGGTGTTTGCACATGTTACGTTCTTTCACTCTTTTTTTTAAAAAAAACCCCTCTTTTTCAGCCTCAACATAAAACCCCTAACATGGGCAAACACCAATTATATACACCTCATTTCAGCCTTATATTCATTACTTTCTTCCACTCTTTTAAAAAAAAAAAGTTCAGCCTCTTACCTTTATCACCAGCATTTGTTGGCGAACGTCGTTCAGCACTTGTTCCTTCTCCTTCACTCCAACGGTCCGGACGGGTCCTCATTGTTCGAACGATGGTTGGGGATTTTCAGGCTGACGGAAGTTTGGGAAATTGGAGAAGACTTCGGTTTTGAGAATGAAGGAAGCCGGCGTATTAACTCAACATTAATTGAAGTTAATTTTGTAGGTAGCCGTTTTAACAACATACAATTACTAAAATGTCCCAATATTTCTACATAAATGAGTTTCCGGTTAAAATTTGCCGGAGTTGTGGTCGGAAGGACGACGGGTGGTGAAGGGGAAAGGGTCACGGACTAGATTTGGTTAAATTGAAAGTCAAGGGAGTAATGTGGAAGTGACATAATAGTCATGGGACCAAAAGTGGAATTTTTTCGATAAGAAAACCTATAAATGCTATTAAATGACGCAACTAACCTTCATTAATTGGTTTCCAGTTAAAATTTGCCGGAGTTGTGGTCGGAAGGACGACTGGTGGTGAAGGGGAAAAGGTCACGGACTAGATTTGGTTAAATTGAAAGTCAAGGGAGTAATGTGGAAGTGACATAATAGTCATGGGACCAAAAGTGAATTTTTTTCAAAATCAAATGGTAGCCACTTTTTAGTACTACCTCCGTCCCGGTAGACTTTGCCAAGTGCAAATTAGGTGAGAAATAAGAATAGTAAAAACTGTGTGGTTGAAATTTGTGCAGAAGAGAGAGAAATGTGCAAAACCACAAATTAGTTGCTTAAATAGGAAAGTTGCAAAGTTTTTTGGGACAAGTAAAAAAGGAAAATTGGCAAAGTCCAAAGGGACGGAGGGAGTATGTGTTATTCCCACGCTCCAAATTTTCATATCTGAATTCTTAAGTATACCCTTTCCGCGCAGAGACAATGTATGATATGGGGATTTCCTTTCCAAAAAAGGTTGATAAATGAGGAACGTAATAAGTTCAAACATTAAATAAAACACACATATAAAGAAAGCATGTACCTTGTTGATTAGTTAAACACCTATAGACTCGGTTAATTCAAATCAATGTTAAAAGAAAGTTTTATACACAAATTGTTGTGCGTGCCTTAAAACTTAAAAGCGTGAATGAGATTTTATAATCCATTATACTATATATAATGTGTTGTGTGTGGAACGATAAATGCTATTTGAGCGAAGAGTACATACAACTTATAATATAGAATTATGTAAACAAATATCATCCATGAAACACAACTTGCAAAATCTAGAGAAATTCAAAATCCAGGCCATTATATTTCATGTTCAATACACACACACTTATTTTTTTATTCTGAATTAAATTGATCAAAAGGTACCGAAATCATCGGAAAGGATACAAACCATTGTTCTTGAACAACTCTGCAGAGAAAAGCACATGTGATTCTATGAAAGCTAAACTTTAAATTATAAAGGTGATCCGCCATCTCGATCAATTCCTTTAAGCAGATAAGAATGTCAGTTTGATGAATTGAGTATAGAAGACGCAAAACATACAATCTGGATGGATTTACATTCATTTATACATGCAGGCCGGCCATTCGGGTGACTCTGCAAAGTGATGGTATGAATGCACGCTCCAGTTTTGACTCGGATATACGTAATATCAATTACTACTGCTGACTCGGATGAGGGTGTACTAGCCTGTGATCTAATACTAGTTATACTAAGTGTTTTCTGATCCGTGTTTAGAGTTTAAACAAGATATAGTCGATGCGGGGTTACATATTACTATTATTTGCTTTTTTTTATTATCAAAAGTGTTTTTTTAAATCTATATTAGTTAAGCATCTATATATAGATTTGGTTAATTCAAACAATTGTATACATTTCGTACGATGTGTGGAAGATGAATTTTGAACAAAGAGTATGACTCATAATATACAGTTTTGTAAACATAAAACATTTATCTAGATTCTCATGAAACACAACTTTCAAAACCCAGATAAACACAAAAGGCGCACGTGACTTGCACGAAACTTGTAATTTGGATTTTATAGATGAACACATGTTATATACTTATACTTGCAGCCCCAGATGATGATACTAATTTGACTCACTAATTAGAGATATAGGTGTGATTAGTATTGTTGGAACGTATTGTTTTGTTGATGACAAACGACTAGTGTTACTTTTGGTTGTAAGTGACTACATGAAAAGAGTTTAAGTCGTGCTCTGGAACAAGCCGTAGAACTGGTCCGAGAATTGCACCGTAAATCCAAGATTGATTAATCCGGCTTGCTTAAAATATCTTTTCTCTCCATTTAATTTCGGATCTATCTTGCTAAATTAAAGAGAACCTTTTAAGCAAGAAAATAATCAATGATCATACAAAGAAAGGATTTTTTCTCTAAAGGAAAGTTATTTAAATCAAAGGCATTAATTAAGAGATATTTCTACAAAGCAAGTTTCCAAAATAATTGTTGTTATTCAAAATTCAAAAAGGATTTTCGTGCATATCTTCTCACAAGGAATGTTTCCTTAAGAAAAATGATTTCCTTCAATCAAATAAAAAGAATATCTTTTATACCTATAAGGAAATATTTTTGAATGATTTCCATGCAAGAGGACCGAAATATATATGGAGATCCGAGCTATTAAAGATAGTACATCAAGTCCTGATCTTGCCCATCTAAGAAGACCAATCTCAAAGGAAAGAATCTGTTGAGTATGTAGTTTTATTAATGACTAACTATGCAGGTGGAACAGCGGACGAAACCGCTCTCAGTTCCATACGGAACGGAAGACAAAATTATTCTTAATTGTATTCTGTGTGAACGGTTGATTTACATGGTGTATGATTTAATTAATATGTGCTTTCCTTATATGAGTGCTTATACTTTGTCAAGAATATTATTTTAAGCAAAAATATATTTTCATGCATGATTTATTATTATAGTTTATTATTTTATGGAAAGAATCCTTAATTGATTAGCTAGTTGATTGTGCATACCTATTTAACAAATATTCTCCTGCATATTATTTGAAATATGATCCGTTGCATGCTTGCATAGTTTAAGTGAATAAATAACTTCCCTTGATATGTATTGATATATATCTTTGTGGAATTATTACTAAATGGTTGATCACATAATATGCTCTATACCTTTTTGACTTGCTCATGGTATGCACGTATCCTCCTGCTCCCATATATATGGTTGACCAAGGACCATCATAATTAAGAGCTAGAAGATCCTTAAATAAAAGGAAAGCATTTTGAATAATTTCAAGGCAAGTTCCTCAACCATTCAAGGAAAGAAGTGTCTCAACGGATCCATTCCTAGTAGACTATATAATCGAGATCAAGAAGAAGAAGCAGGGCGTGCTTGACCGAGAAAATATCGAGAGAGATACTCGAGAGAAATACAAAGTTCAAGGCACCTGAAACTGCTCCCGGAGTTCTAGACGGAGTTCTTATTCTCTTCCTATATTGTAATTGGGTTATTGAGGATTAGCTAAGTGTAGCTTCCTCGGGTTGGGTAACGTGTGTTGTGAGAGCTTTGTTGTAAAGCTGAGAGGCTCTCTACCCGCAAGGTAGAGAAGCGTAACTCTTCCTAGAGAGGATAGAGTTGGGGTGGCTCAAGGGTAGACTAGGAGAGTTTCCCTTGTAATCATTCAAAGGCTTTTTAGTGAAGTTGTTAAAATTCCTCCGAGGGAGGTCGAGGTTTTTTTTAATCCCTTTGAGCCAAGGGATTTTTCCTCGTTAAATCCTTGTGCACTTTACTATTTCGCAATACCCTTCACCCCGCACTAGAACTGGGCGAAAAACTGCCACGGTTCCACACACACAATTCACCCCCCCCTCTTGTGTTGCTAACCGTTTTCATCAATTGGTATCAGAGCAGGTCTTCACCACATAGAGGTTAATACCTTGGGAAGAGATCCGGCAAAATGAATACGGTTGACCGATTGGAAGAAGGTTACTCGACTCAACGACCACCATTGTTCAATGGGAAATACTATCAGTTCTG